TACGCGGTATTATTAGCCGGTGCCTCCCGGCCGTCAAATCAAATCATAATGGCCCGCATGAGGGTGACATATGGAATCCATTGAACGACAGTTTTTTTCACGTTGATTGTGTTTATTTTGAGGAAAAAGTCTATTTTAAACCTTGAATTCATAGAGGTTAGGCAAAATGAACCCTCAAGTCGAAATCCCGGTCGATTGCACCCTGAACTATGAAATCCCGGTCTAAATCGAACCTTCGTGTCGTTTGGATGGCAGGAATGCGGATATTTTGCACAGGACGCACTGTTGGGCCGGCCAAACAAAAATAGTGCACCAGCCCGGTTTATTCTTTTCGTTAAAAAAGAAAAAGAAGTGGACGGTGAGACTCGAATGCGAGACCCGTGCTCTAGGCTATAATGTGATCGATTCAAGGGATACGACACAGGCTGTATTCACTTCCTCCCTTTTTCTTCTTTTTTCCTTTCTGTTCTTTCCTTTTTATTTTTCAGTTTCCCTTTTTTATTAAATTCGTGATTTTGTTTCAAATTGACGATTTTTTTCCATATTTGCGTATTGTTTTGAAATGCCGTAATTTTGTAATTATTTCAATGTTTATTCGAAAAAATCAACATATATAACAAAGGCGAAATTAGATGACCAGTAAACTAACGTTCCCTTAATATAATTTCTGTGTACATCAGGAAAAATTTATACACATGTCTATTTTCTTCACACACATTGCTCATTTTCGTATATATCCGAAACGTCTTTATACACGTTCAACATTTTCCAAATACATGATTAACAATTTTTAAATATATATTTTTATGTCTATTTTTTCATAAACATTCACCACAGTGTATTCCTCGGCGGCGAGGCGACGGGCGAAGGCAAGATGACAATTTACAAATGTAACGTACATTTTTAACCTTGTTACAAAAAGATAACATTTTTTGGGATGGTAGGAAACATTGTTTGAAACTACGTGACATTTTTGTGCATTGTATACATTTTTCAAAATGTCACAAACATTATTTTAAAATGCGTGAACATTTTACAAATGCAACGTACATTTTTAAGTTACATATATATAAATATTTAAATAATATTAAAATATATTTCGAAATGCCATGTACTCTTTTTGTAACGCTTGAATATTTTTGAAATGTTGCAAACACCGAAATATAAGTGTAACCGAAAAAAGTCAAATGGGCCGGCCCAGCGCGGAGGACGTGGGCGCTCTGTGGTCAATACTGCCGTTCCCTGGCCCACTAGTCAGATGGATCCCGGTTGAATTTTGCCAGGGTTCGATTTAAACCGGGATTGTATAGTTCAGGGTGCAATCGACCGGGATTTTGATTTGAGGGTTCATTTCGCCGAACCTCTACAAATTCAGGGTTTAAAATGGACTTTTTCCTTATTTTGAAGGTTTGTCACATTTACATTTTCTTAGGGGTCGCGTTTAGATAATTACATGAAAGTACAATTACATACTTTTTAAAAATAATAGCTTTTGATTTAGATAATTTTCTTTTTTTTTGCGGGAGAAATGCTTGTATTGCTCAATCAATTTAGGTGATTTTCTTCGTACATAATTCATCAAAATTAATATTTTTAACTTCTGCAGCAACACACGGGAAGATCACCTAGGCTCTCTAGTTCTTTTCTTTAGAGAGAGAGAGAGCCCCTCAAAAGAGAGAGAGAGAGAGAGAGAGAGAGAGAGAGAGAGAGAGAACCTAGATTCTCTAGTTAGTAAGCCGCTCCAACTTCTTGCACAAACTCCACTGACTTTTTGTGTTAGCCCAACCGCTCTGGCAAAGCCCATGACAACATCAGTCGGTAGTAAATAAAAGACAAATGATCAAGCAAGCAAACCTATGCCATGACACACTCAAGAAGTAAGTGACGAATGTACGTACTGTACAGTCACCCACGTAGTTATTTTAATTAAACAAGCATGTAGTTTAATTAAAATATCTTTCGTTAACCTATAGATAACACGGTGACATAAATATCAAAGAAGAAAATTAAATCTTAAGAGATAACTTGAGCCGCCACTACAATTTTGTCGAAACTAAGCTTAACTGTTTAACAAAGCTTAGTACATATAATGAGTAGAAAAGGCCCCAATGTATGCAAATCCAACTTAAGCATATCTTTCTTCACGCTTGCACACCTTAAAAAACATATCATGTCAGTAAGTAAAATGTTAATCAGTGGAAGCACACGCATGTTTGTTTTGGACACTGTGCACTAAAGGCCTCTTTGGTTCAAGGAATTCCATACAAATTTTGGAGGATTCCATTTCTAATGATTTTTTTATAATTTTGCGTTGGTACCTGTCGTGGTTCTAAGTCTGATAGTAATGTAGGGGGGTAGGTATGGAGAGGCAAGATCTTAGCTATAGAGTAGTTGTAAGCACACGAGGTTTACGAGTTCAGGCCCTTCTCGGAGGAAGTAATAGCCCTACGTCTCGGAGCCCGGAGGCGGTCGACTGGATTATGTGTGTATGAATTACAGGGGTGTGAACCCTCTACACTGAGGAAGGGGGTGGCTTACATAGAGTTCGCAGACCCCTCCAGCCCTCAGTTATGCAGGGTTTTAAGTACATTAAGGTCGGGCGTTACTGGTAACGCCCCTAATAAAGTGCTATGATGACCATAAAAGCTACTTAATGACCGACCGTTAGCGTGCGGAGCGACTTTAGGTCTCCTGGCCGTCGAGTGGTTGGATCCTGGTCGAGTGATTGTTTCTTGGTCGAGTGTCTTCGAGTCTGTCGAGTGGAACACCTCCAAGTCGATTGAAAGGTGATTTCTTCTAGAGATGTCCTTGGGTAGGCCAGTCAGGACAGGTCCATGACCCTACCCTAGGTACATAGCTTCATCATTAGCCCCCGAATGGATCGAGATTTGAGTGGGGAAGGAGTTGAGAACTTCTCCAACTCATTTTTCACTCCATGAGTATATCTTGTTTCGGATCAATGAACCTGAGTGACGACAGCAACTTCCTTTTCAGTCGCCTTGATCCATTCTTAGTTTTTTGTCGGGTGAGTTTCTTTACTTGAAAAGCTCCGAGTGACGGTGTGGAGGAGATCTTCCGTCTGACAAGTTGTTCTGCTTCCTGCGGATTTCGTGGGATTCGAATTTTGGGAAGCGCGCGGGACGGGGGAGGCCGCAGTAATCGGATGGGATAGGGCGGAGCTTCCTCGATCTCTGCACCACCTTTTTCGTCACGTATCGCGCGCGCGACTATTGCGGGATTTGACAGGATCATCTGGGCCTACCAGTCAGCCACTCGGAAGTAACCTCATATAAGGTGTTGGACCGGGGTTTCTTGAACAGTGCGTTCTCATTTCCTCTCCTCATCTTCAGGCTTCTTCGCCGCGCTCGTTCTCGCCCCAGCGCCGCCGCTCCGTACGTGTCTCGCCGACGACGATGGGGAAGGAGAAGACGGCGGCTCTGGAGCGGGCGAAGAAGGCGACGGCAAAGGCGAAGGGGAAGGCGACCAGTCGGGGTGGATCTTCCTCATGAGCCGGCCTGCCGAAGGGCTGGATCCAGGGCGACTGGATCCGCTCGATGATCCGCCAAGAAGACCTCGACGACCTAGCCGACGGAGGACTGATCCCTCATGGATCGGCGCGGCTTCCGGGGAAGGAATCCGAGCTGCAACCTCGGGAGGGTGAGCGCGTTCTCCTTGCCACCCACGTCGACCGTGGGTTTTCCTTGCCTCCTCACCCTTTCTTTCGGGGATTTCTAAATTTCTTTGGGGCACAACTCCACCACTTCACTCCCAACACAATCGTGTATCTCGCTGCTTTCGTGTCTTTGTGCGAGAATTTCTTGGGTTGTCGGCCTCACTGGAGTCTTTTCAAGCACATTTTCACCTATCGTTCCTAGACGGTGAAAAAGGCCAATCCGAGTGATGAGAGAACACAAGTGATTCAGATGTGTGGGGGTCTTGGTGTTCAGATGAGAGGGAAAAGTTCCTTTCCGGCCATGATTCTTCCCGACTCGGTCCGTGGATGGAAGTCGACCTGGTTTTACTGCAAAGACCAGCCGACGCCAGGGCAGTCGACTGGCCTCCCTCCTTTTACCATGGACCGAGTGAGGAAACCCTCCTCTTTGAAGGTGATCCCGGAGGAGAAGGTGCAAGTTAGGGTGCTGGTCGAACGGGTGGTCCAGCTTATCCGTGACGGGGTCACTGGTATGGATCTCTTGGAGGTTTTCCTTCGGTGGCGCATCCA